TTCATATTTGTTCACAAAATTTAATGTTGGTTAAAGACCTTGTTCGTTCAATATTAGCTTTCTACTCAGCTTACTAATATTGGGGATGATAGCTTTTAGTGGTTACCACAAATTAAAATATAATAGATGTAACACAAAGAAATTATCTATCAACGTGGATCTACACAAAACAGTGCGCTCTTAATCAAGGGATAACGAACATATCGTCCCTAGAAGTTTATTATATTCTATGCAATCATATTAACAGGGTTAAAACAGACTTCATTATTCTTTAAAATGATAAGTAAACAAGCAACTACGGACTTATTTATTTTTAAATAAATCCTTTACATTCTTAGAGCAAACATGCAGTTAACGTCATGTCACCTACGTACATGTTTACTAAGTTCAAAGACAGTATAGACGCATATACTGTCAGTTACAAATACTAGTCTAATACCGGTATTATATTGTCAATTTATCACCACACGATATCGTTGATTTTTTTTAAATACTTGTTCTTGACTTTTCATCACGGTTGTGTAAAACTGAAGATGTATATCCTGTACCATTATGTATTTTAATCTACTGAACGACACACACACCCCATGTAGTGTGGTCATTCAGATTTAACTGCTACATAGTTCATGATAAAGCCAGGCCAAGGTGCAAATATTACAAGGGAAATTACGACGGGTTGGGGGAAGAGATGAGGGGCATCCACTGGCCTGACTGACGAAGTCACAAGAACGCAGACACTACGCTGAATATCATAACTAGTAAAGTGACCCATTTGATCGATAAATATATACCCAAGACCAAACCCCCATGCCTCTATGAATACGAGAGGACCCCTACACATGAACCATACGGTGGTCGGCAAAGTTAAGACAGACGGTTCGACACAGCACTGACCCACATTGTGTTCACAGAAGAGGGCATAAGAAATAAACTGTCAAAGCTATAGGTCCATAAGAGCCCCGGCCCTGACAAGGTGCATCCCAGAGTGCTAAGAGAGTTGTGCAACGAGCTTGCCGAGCCCCTGAAGATCCTGTTCTGTAAATGCCTGGATGAGCAAATGGTCCCGTGATTGGAAAGTGGCTTATGGTCCTATCTTCAAGAAGGGCGATCGTCACTCTACGAACAACTATAGACCGGTGAGCCTGACCAGCATAGTATGTAAAGTACTTGAGTGCATTATCAGAGATGTCGCGATGGAACATCTAATACGAAACAACCTTGTAAAGGATTGCCAACACGGTTTTATGCCGGGGCGCTCCTGCTTAACACAATTGCTCAAGGTATTGGATATTTGGACCCATATTCTAGAACTAGGTGGTAATATAGACAATATATACCTAGATTTTGCCAAGGCTTTCGACAGTGTAACCCATGAAAGGCTGAAAATCAAACTGGAAGGGTACTGAATTCGCGGATGATGCCAAGTTATTTCGGGAAATCAAGAACCAAGCGGACTGTGAAGAGCTGCAGAAGGATCTCTGAGCTCCAAAAATGGTCGAAGAAATGGCTGCTGAGATTCAATGTCACGAAGTGGAAGAGGATGGACCTGGGGCGTAGGAATTTGCCTGGTTTGAGTCTACCAAAATGTCAGTTTTTTCTGCTATGTTTTTGAGATGTTTGCGTATTTGTGACGCTGAATTTATTGATGAAGAATTGAAACACATTCGTTCCATTGCACAAAAACTTGAGTACCCTTCTGTGTTCGTTGATCATTGTTTTAAAAGGGCTAAAAAATCCTTTCCTTCTACTCAAACCAGGCAAATTCCTACACTTAAGAATATTTTGACTGCTTTATCGCAATGAATTTGTCCCGTTAATTCGGTCTCTTAAATTACTAAATATTAATGTTGTTTTCAAGTATGACTCAACCATTACCAATATGTTAATCAAAAATAGCCAACTTTGAATGTAAATGGAAGTGTTTATTGTATTCCATGTAGCAAATGTAATGGTAATTATGTAGGACAGACAGGAAAAACATTGCAGCTCAGAATCAAACAACAAAAGTACAATATCAGAACAGCACCTGAAAGCAGTGCCCTGTTCGTTCATGTTAAGAATAATAATCATCCCATTGCTTGGGAAAAAGCTTAGAAGTATTCAAATCACCTTGTGTCACAGAAAGACTTCTGGTTGAAGCTAGTTTGACCAAGGAATTAAAATCAATAAACCTTAGTGATGGTCAGTACAAAACTGATATATTACATAAATTTATTTGTCAGTGGTCCAAGGTTAAAAATGCTTTGGAAACCTTGGAGCTAGATGTAGGATAGATATTTAGTGGGTCCCTTAATTTTGACCTGACCTGACCTGACTAGTCACGTCGCCCCCTTTCTCTTGAGCTCCTCTACGTATGTGTTGGTGTGGGGGTTAGTGGATGACATCATTATGACCTGACTTCATGTTTAATATGGTCACCCTGTATATTTAAGCCTCTCTCTGTCTATGTAATCCATGTCCCTATTATAGAATGGATATAAATTCACTAGAGTCGGTGCAGCGAAGAATGACAAAAATGATTCCGGGACTTAGAAACCTTCCATATTAGGATAGGTTAAAGAAATTTAACTTGCATTCCCAAGAAAGACGAAAAGTGCGGGGAGATATCATAGAAGTATTTAAGTGGGTGAAAGGAATCAATAAAGGGGATATAGATAAAGTTCCTATAATATCCGAGCAGGATAGGACTCTGAGCAACGGATTCAAGTTGGATAAGTTTAGGTTTAGGAGGGAGATAGGAAGAAACTGGTTCACAAATAGGGTGGTAGACGAGTGGGACAAGCTTAGCAACTTTGTAGTTAAGTGCGGGAACCCTGGAAAGTTTCAAAAGGAGGCTAGATAGATTCATGGATGATAGAGAGTGGTAGTAACTCTCGACAGGAGCTGCCATGCACAGGCCAACCGGCCTATTGCAGACTCCTTATTTTCTTATGTTCGTAAGATGTCTTGAATAAAGACAAAAGCTAATGTGCTCCGTTGTTTCCCTTTTCCCCGTGTGATTTTCTCAAGATCTATCTTATCCACGTTTTCATTGTGGAGCTACATGAAATATATATATATATATATATATATATATATATATATATATATATATATATATATATATATCATATAGTATTTATATATATATATATATATATATATATATATATATATATATATATATATATATATATATATATATATATATGTTTTCTTGCACAATGATCCAGATTTTTTTTGTTAACTAATAATTGAGTTTTAATTACAACTATATAACAGATTACCGAAAATCTGGCTGCCAAATGCAACGTATTTTGTCCAACGAAATAAACTTTAAGATAAAGTTGATCTTGAACGTGAAGATTGCTTTAACGATTCTTAATGAAGTCGAAAAAAAAAATTTACTCTCGAGTATAAACAGGACGTGTCTTGAATCACTAATATGCCAAACAGACAGTATCAACATCATATGTTTTTCGGTGAGTGTTGTGAGAAAGAAAGGAAGACGCGCGTAGGTGTGCATGCAGATGTGCGATACAAAGCATGTGTGGATGATAACATGGAAGTGAAGATTTAGGGCGCGCGCAAAAAAAAATATAGATAATATATATACTGTATATATATATATATATATATATATATATATATATATATATGTGTGTATCAATTTATCTAAGTAAGTTTGATAGACCTTTTGTATAATAAAAAAATGTGGACACGTCACACAGGGTCAAGGAGTGGTCAGTAGCTGCTCACGCTGCAACACTACAGTAAGTACACACCCACTAGATTACTCCTGGAGACCGTCTTCATCACAGAACAATTAATCAAGCTTTGCAAGGTTCGTAAAAACGTTCAACAGTCTTTAAGGCTTTCGGAATATTTTGCTGACTCACTTTAAGCTACATATTTCACTTAGTTTCTTTTTGCAGTGGAATGAATACAGTACTTCGTTTCCTCATATAAAATACACACTAGGAGACCCCACCAAGCTACACCGAATACGGTCATAAAAAAATGAGCTATTAATGGAATGCATATATTTTCTTAAAGCGTGAAAAGTCTGTCTACTGACTTTAAATACAGTACACTAACAAATTGCGGTTATTTCAATCACAATGCACAGTACGAGAACTTTGGAGATTTTTAAGTCATGCTTTAGACGGCACTGCCCCTAGCCATTCTGCACAACATCCACATCTTAAGTTACATAAAGAACTGCAATATTTACATGTCTGATATGATACAACAACAATATTTAACAACTGTAATATACTTGTGTGTGATCTTATCTTGTTTTGAAATGGAGACAAACGAAATATAAAGACGAGTACAGTTCCTATTTTTTTTAAGCCAGGTCAACGAACCAAAGTACGAGTATTGCTGACGTGGCATTCCTTGACATTTAGTGCTGGTTATGGACGGAGTAATAGTTCTTAACGACAGATAAAATTTCCATAAATTCTTGAAAATAATAATTTTTCTCATCGGTCACGTTGGTTTCCAAGTACAGTGCTTGTAATTGTAACCGTATTTTATGAAAAAAAAAACAATCACTAAAATTATTTATACCTTACTGATCCCAACGTGGAATCCGCCTATCATCTTACGCAGAATTAGGAAAGGTAATAATGTGTTTTCAGTACATTAGACAAATAATTTGTCCATACATTGTGCCGACATCGTCTGAACAGTAAAGGGATTGTATAGTAATACTGTAAACAATGATCACAACAGTGTATTGATTATTATTTTGAGGTTAAAGCATTTTCACATTTCAACTACATAAACCCTCATTACTAAACTGTTTTTATCATAATATCAGAATGCTTCATAATATTCATTGATAGCAAAATAACTATTAGTGGTACACATACCGGTTCGTATTAGAGCAGCCGCCGAGTTGTGGTGTAGATGTGCTGCCATCTATAGGAACTTCTCACATACATATATATTACACCGTATGCATCCACGGTCATAATTATTTAGACTTGCAATATATTTTTTTCATATTTTTCTTTGATAAAATATAACTATAATATATGCAATATAAATTTGTGGGAACTATGATACTAAGACTGGGTGGTGTAGTGTTGTCATGGTGCAGACGACACACACCAGCTGACGGTGTAAACACTGGCGGCAGCTGAGTGTATCGACCTAACTGCTTCAGAGATAACACTGGATTAAATGCAAGACAACTGGAAACAAATATATGAGCCCTGTTAATGTGTTTTGTAAGTTAATTCCAACTATTTTTTTTATTATTTTGTAAAAGGCACTATTATTGCGTTTACACACCGTTCATTCCTACTACTAATCTATTATCAAATTCGAATAAGACGTCTAATTATAAGATAAATTTTTACTTATGCACCAGTCTTTGTTTGGTTATTAAAATATGTTTTTTCGATGATATAGGATGAGTTTCGAACGAATTTGATTTTCATTTCCGCCAGAAATCACTAGTTTCCCCCCTCCTAGAATAATGTGGGGGGGGGGGGAGAACCTGTGAAATCTGGGTTTTTGGGTGGGTGAGAAAACGATTCATCTAACCTTACAAAACCTAACCTAACCATGGAACAGTGGATCTCACAGATGATCTGGAAGAGGCTCACGCCTGTGACTCCAGCTCAATAGCCTCTTCTCTACTCAGACGGTGGCTGCGTGTGGCGGATATTTGTGCCCTATAATTATATACTTGTTCTTGATTTTTCCAGTATTTATCAAATTTTGCTTCAAACTTTTCCACCGTCTCCACATTCACTACCCAATCAGGTAACCCATTCCAGTTGTTGACAACCCTACTCGGGAACGAATGTCTTCTGAGATTTAGCCTCGCTCTTGTTTTGTAGATCTTCTTTGTGTTCCCCCGGGTAGTGTCATCCTCCCTCATCTGGAACATTCCTGCTGTACATGCCTGGTCATATATGCCACACACTATCTTGTATGTTTCCACTTGGTCCCCACGAGATTTTCTGTACGCCAGTGTCGGTAACTGTAATTTCCTTAGTCTTTCCTCATAAGATAAATCCTTGATCTGTGGTACTAATTTGGTACCCCTCCTCTGTACATTCTCAAAAGATAATCTCCCCACACCCACAGACTAACCTCCCCTCACTCAAAAGATAATCTCCCCACACCCACAGGATAATCTCCCCACACCCACAAAGATAGTCTGGTTAATATGAAGAAGTTGCCAACACCTATTTATTGAGTCATATAGGGAGAAAGAGGGAAACAAATAAAATAAAATTATTCCATAGTATTTCCGTTGGAAAATAAAAATTTTCAAGTATTTTAACCGATAAAATTGCACGCAATATTAGTTGTTTAAAGTAGAAGGAAAATGTTGGGTAAAATACTGAAAATAATGCCAAACAAACTTTTGAAAACCTTACTTAACTTTTCCTAACTTATAAAAATATTAAGAATCACTTTTGAGTTTATAGCTTTTTCCTCATATGAGCACCGAAAAACCAACATACTAAAAACCTAAAACACCTTCACATACTTAACACCGAAAACATGAATAAGGTAAACGTTACAGAGTTTTAGTATTTTTAAAGGTTACTTAAGGTGTTAAAAAGTTTGTTTCGTGTTTTTTATTTTATTTTACCCCACATTTTCCCTCTACTTCAAAGCCCTGTCCACTATGAACTAGTAATTTTGTTAGCTTTTACATAATGTAGTATTTCTGATATGTAATTTGTCTTAGTATGCCTTTTTGTGGGTAAAAATAAGTCAATATTAAATGCATCCTCTGAAAGCGTGAATTTGCTACCAGAGTTTAACAGTTAATTCATGTAGTATAAGGTTTCTGATAAACTTCCTATGTGCTCGTGTTTGAAGTAATGAATACAGTATAACGTCAATATAACACGAGATATGTTCCAAGAGAGGTCGCTTTAAACCGAATTCGCATTAAATAGAAGTTGTTTCAATGAAATAGTTTAGTTTGGTACTTGAGAGAAACACAAAATACTAAAAAGACTGAGAGTCTACCCAGATGCACCTCAACCCATCTAGAATAAACAAAACATTGTTTTTTGTAGTATTATGTTAAAATAAACACTCATAAATCAACACAGCTAAAATTATGGGACGTGAAATGGTCTGTTTATTGGCGATCAGCTGATGGGGGGTGAGGTGATATGTTTGATAGTTGATGCCAAGGTCTAGTGCTTATTTATTTATCTGTCCTTAAGAGTGACTTTAAGTTTTTCTCTTATAAAATGTCATTGAACTGACATGGGAGAATATAATTTTATTACAAAGGGCTAAAAATTTTATCTCATGCAAAATATATGACGTTTATACAGGGTATTCAAATTATTCGCTGTCTTGCAAGAATTCTAGCAATGCAAGTTATATTCTAACTTTAGTCTGTGATATAATATAAGATAAAAACTAATCCTATAACCGCCCAACCCTGGCTGGGAAGATTGGGGTGGGGGGGGAGGTACTCACAATGGCCCGAGAAGTTTAGTTCATTGTCAACATACACACCCAGGTTCTTTTCACATTCGATCTCTATTAATGTAGTTTCTTCATCCTGTTGGGACATGTGATACGCCCCCTTACCATTGGTACGACCCAGGTGCATCCTCTTCGTGACATTGAATCTTAGCAGCCATATCTTCAACCATTCTTGAAGCTCGCAGAGATCTTTCTGCAGCTCTTCACAGTCAGTTTGGTTCTTAATTTCCCAGAATAACTTGGCATCATCCGCAAACATTTGTGTGGAGGAGTGTGTAACTTCCGGCATGTCATTTATGAAACAAACAAACCAATAACAATGAGCCCAATACACTGCCCTTGTGGTACCCCATTTTGTACCATTAATGGTTATGCTAGGACACTTCCCCGAATTCCATACCCTTCCAATTTGATTCTCGGCCTTTCATGGCATACGATGTCGAAAGCCTTGGCAAAATCTAGGTTCAGTAAAACCTTGATAACTCAGCCCATATGGGGCTCTGACCTTGCTGAATTATCACAAAATCCGACTAATTGAAGTACCCCCACTGTAAACGCTTTCTGGGCATTTAAAGGTTAATCAGACTCTTCACGTTAAACTCGAACGTTATAATTCGGTCAAACCTGTTGAATACAATTCATTTTAGTATTTCAAATAAATCATACATAGGCAGTCATACATAATTGTTTAATCCAATATATATTTACATAACAATCATAGCTATGTAATTAGTCTAATCTTAACACTTACAATGAGTACTTAATTTGCCATATTTTATGTTGTCACAATGATAAACGATGCAATGGACACAGTCTACCTGTGTACACAATAAGTACCAGTTGAACTTACGTGTTGAAAGTCTCAAGAGAAACCAGGTTAGGTGTTGCCTCTATGATCTGGATAACTACAGTGCCAGTACTCTGCATCGCCTGCCCAGGCGAGGGCTGAGTCAGGTGATTATACATAAACAAGCTCCCCTTACACACTCCAACCTCCTCTGGGTCTCTCATCTCCCACCATCTCAATACTCTATATACTGTATATGGGTAGGCACACCCAATAAACATGACATGACTTACAGCCTAACATAATGTTTGTTTATGTGTCATCCTACTCATTACTACTTGCGGTAACACCCACTCCGTTGAGCGTTCACTCTCAAAACCAGATCAGGCCTTTGATACTTTTTTTTGTCACGTTCTTGTGACTATGCTGCCCTCGGGCTGGTGGTATTTTACTTTAATTTTGTCACGTTCTTGTGACTATGCTGCCCTCAGGCTGGTGGTATTTAACTTTGTCACTTTCTTGTGACTGTCGCTGCCCTCAGGCTATCAGTACTTATCAGCTCCTTAGGACATCTCGGTCCTTTGACGTTCGGACATCACTGTCTTCTTGTGTGGATACCCAATTCATTTTCCTGCCCAATTCCGTCAGCCCCTTCCATTGGTCCCTCCAACAAACATAATTTTGTCACAGGTCGCAGCATCGTGGACGTTGTCGTCTTAACCACTGCCTGTCATACAAGTCCATCCTCGCCAGCCTTGACTTCCATCACTCGACCAAGGTGCCATTTGTTGCGTGGACTATTTGCTTGTGCTATAATGATTAGGTTACCAGGGCAAAAGTTGCGCCGTGGTCTGAAATGCACTTGTCGAGTTCTGAGTTGAGGGAGGTACTCCGTCAGCCATCGCTTCCAAAATTGATCTGCAAGGTACTGGACATGCTTCCACCTTCTGTGGTATGATTCGCCTATTGACCTTCCTCCTAAGGGACGATTACCCTTTCTACTTAAGTGCAAAAGATCAGCAGGCTTGAGAGCCTTTGGTTCATTTGGAGTGTTTGGAACCGGGTTGATTGGCCTCTTGTTAACTATGGCTTCCACTTCACAAAACAGTGTTTGCAGACGTTCATCGTCTAAAACTTGTGAGCCCACAATCGTCTGTAGGACCTTCTTTACTGTGCGAATCTGCCTTTCCCATACTCCCCCCATGTATGGGGCAGCTGGTGGATTGAAGACCCAGTCAATATCTGCTTTCAGTAAGGCACCTCTGAGTCTGTCATCTTGCTCCCAACTTTTCACAGCCAGTTTGAGCTCTTTGGCTGCCCGTACCATGTTTGTCCCATTATCCGACCTAATACGCTCTGGTGTACCTCTGCGTCGTGAAAACCTTGTTATTACATTGAGGAAGGAATCTGCGCCTAATGAGGCCAAGACTTCTAGATGAACAGCCCTAATAGTTAGACATGTAAACAGACATCCCCAGCGCTTGACCTGTTTCCTCCCTACCTTGATAATGAAGGGACCAAAACAGTCCGTTCCAGTGTAAGCAAATGGAGCCTTTCCAGGCGTGACACGATCTATTGGTAAGTCAGCTTGCCTTTGATGCCGACTTCTCCAGTTGTTCCGTCGGCACACTACACAGCGTCGTATGATTCTATCAAGCAAGCGTCTGCCCTGGGGAATCCAATACCTTTACCTCACACTCGCTATCGTGTGCTCTCGTCCGGCATGTTCGGCTCTCTCTTCGTGCATCTCCCGCACTATGATTTCGGTGATGTGGTGGTCTCTAGGCAGCAAGATTGGCTCCTCACCACTTCGCCCAAGAAGGGTTCCTTTAATTCTTCCCTTTGATCTGAGCAACGTTCGCTCGTCCAAGTAAGTTTCCAGTTTATATAGCTTATTGTCCCTTGGCAGCTCACCCTTTATGACAGGTTGGATTTCTTTCTCATAAGCCTCTTTCTGCACCAGTCTTATAA